ATTAAATCTTGGCTTTAGATATTTTCTTGGCTTCACTTTCTCTTGATATTCACGTGGGTTAGCTTCTTTGAGACACTACCTTCTCTCCCTCTTAGTCTCTCGTCCGCTCTCTTTCTGCCTCGAGGATTTGAGGCTGCTATCTTCCCCTTTCTTCCTTTGGCCTAGAAATCGACCCTTTAGCCTGTTGATTGAAGAAACCCATGTTATACTTAGGCTTAAAATAGTGGCTAAGTTATGTTGTGTTTCTCTGAGGCTTAGGTCCGATTTTAGGCGTGATTTCTTGGCGGTTTTGGTAGACCTCTTGGTCGATGATCCAAGCCAAGATTGAAGGAGGCTTGGTTGGTTCTTGATCTCTCTCTGGACGGCGATTGCAAGGCGTGGAAGGCTGTTCCTGAGCCTATGTCATTCGACCTTGAAGAAGGAAAGAATGGCCACAGCAACCGAGGAAAGGGAAGTAGCTTTCTGCCCTTATTTAAGTTCTGATTTCAGTACCTTGATATATATACATTCTACCTTGTTTATTTGTCTCGGTTTTATGATGTTCAATCCTCAGTACTTTATGGTTTCTGGTGTTTGTTGATTAATATATATGTTAAGCAAATGTTGGATCATTATGCTATATATTTTGTAAAGTGAGGCAAGTCTGATTCTGAGCTTTGAACTTTGGTAGCATTGTTATTTGGAGCCTATATATTGCTATGTATTTCCCAACATACACGAAATCCAAAAATTTTCACTATTTTTTAAGCTCCATCGAATTACTATTTCAAAATACACTTTTTGCAAAAGTTAGGGCTCAAACGGGCTATAAATGTTTAAAGTGTCATAAGTCAACAAAATGTCATTGCTACCTAATATTATCTACGTTCTACTTTGATTCTCATTTTTTTCAAAATATATTTTTTCCTCTTTTCTTTTTAATCACACATTTTTAAATAAAATAATATTACACGCAAATTATAAAAATTTACTTATTTCTTAATTACGTATTCTTTATCAATTTACTATTTCAAAATACATTATATACAAAAAAAAATATGTGTCTCAAACACGCCATAAATCAAAATCATAACGATGAAACTCTTGTATATCTTCTTTCTATAATCCATGTCTCAATCCCCTTTCTTTTAGAGACAGTAAAACATAGGTTTAGCATTGATTTTCTAATAAAATTTTACATATGATCATACATGTTATTCGTACAAAACATTATTTTTTTGAAAAAGTAACATAGTTCA